AGAGACAGGGTTTCACCATGTTAGCCAGGCTGGTCCTGAACTCCTGACCTCAGGTGATCCACCCGCCTCGGCCTCCCAGAGTGCTAGGATTACACAGGTGTGAACCACCGTGCCTGGCATAATTTTTGCATTTTTAGTAGAGACGGGGTTTCACCATGTTGGCCAGACTGGTCTCAAACTCCTGACCTCAAGTGATCCACTTGCCTTGACCTCCAGAAGTGCTGAGATCACAGGCATGAGCCACCATGCCTGGCCAAGGATCCCATTTTTAAAAAACAAAAAATAGGCTGGGCACACTGTCTCACCCTTGTAATCCTAATACTTTGAGAGGCTGAAGTGAGTGGATCACCTGAGCCTAGGAGTTTGAGACTAGCCTGGACAACATGACAAAACCCCATCTCTACAAAAAATATAAAAATTAGCCAGGTACGGTGGCACACATCTGCAGTCTCAGGATCAGAGGTGGGAGGATCGCTTGAGACCAGGAAGTGGAGGTTACAGTGATGCGAGATCTTGCTGCTACACTCTAGCCTGGGTGATAAAGCCAGACCCTGTCTCAAAAAAATAAAAATAGGCCAGGTGTGGTGGCTCTCTCTCCCGTGTGTTGACCTACCCCAGCACTCGCCTCCTGATTCTCAGAACTGAGCATTTAAATTTGGTTCATGAGCTTTTTTTGTTCCACAACCTCTCAGATAGTTCTATGCTATTGTACCAGAAGAGCACATGACATCAGGTAGTTGCCCACACCTCAACCCAGTTCTGGCTTGAGTAAGCAGGCAAGTGAGAGGATGATGCCACCCACCAGAAGTACAGGATGAGAAGCAGGTAGTTCCATGGCCAGGGCCAAGAGGAAATGCCCAGTTTGGGATGTGTCAGATTTGAGGCCATAGGGAACTCTAGGTCCAGATGGCCAACAGGTAGTTGTATACACCAATGTGAAGAGCAGGGATGTAGGGATATGGGAGTCGTTACTATTTAAAACAATGAGATGAGGCCTAGATGAGGCCCTGCAGGGAAACAGGAGGTGCTCTTGCTCTTCCCATTGTTGAGTCTACATTCTCCTTACCCACTCCTTTGGTGCCCTCAAAAACGGTCACACAGCCTCACCACATGGGCACCTTGTCTAGTACCTCCTAGGCAAGACTCTTGTTGGAGAATAACCCTTTCCCATCATTCTCTTTTCCTCAGCAACCCACTGTCTGCGCTATGACTTCATTGCTCTTTCCCAGCCCAGCTGTGGGCAAACCCCTTATGAAGTCTCAGGCTACCTGGATGACCAGCCTTTCTTGTGGTGCTGCAAGGAGGGCAGGTGGGCAGAGCACTGCACATCCTGGGCTCAGGCCAGGGACCCAAGAGCTTGGGCAAAGCTGGTTCTCAGACTGAAGGCCAGAGCCCAGCACTTTGTCAGCATCCTGAGGAGCATCATGGCACACAACAACCAGAGCCAAGGTGGGCTTGGGGGCTCAAAAGGAGGCAGGAAAGAGAGAAGAGCTCAATGTAGGCCTGAAGATGTGCAGCTGCATTCGTCATTGTTCCGCTAAGATGCATTCAGCTCTGCGCGGGGCACTGTGCTAGGCACTCTGGATACCACCCTGCTTCACTGAGATCCTGATGCTATCTCCTCCTGCCTGGGGGAATTCATCCCTGACTCAAACCTTGTTTTATGTACCCAGTGGTACCAAAAGGACTGGATCTTAGGTATTAGCAAGGATAGGACAGAAGCATAAGACTCGCACCCTTTCCCCCAGTCAAGGAATAAGTCTCTAAGATACAAGTCACTGTCAAACTCCCAAGCCTTCTCTTCAGGAGAAAAAAAAAAAA